AGACCGGGATACATGAGAGCCATGAAGGTTGGCGCTGACAGGCCTCCTTATGGGACTTACTGCACAATAACGAAACTAGTGGCGTCAGCTACTACATCTGCAGTTTTCTCCAAAAGTTTGAAGTCTGGCGCCTTGAAATTATTCATGCTGGTTGGCCCATTAATCTGCTTCCCAACAGTGTAAAGTTTGTCCAGAATCTTTCATGTTAAGGTACTTTTAGACCGAGATATATGAGAGCCTTGTCCGTTGGCGCTGACAGGCCTCCCTATGGGACTTACTGCACAAAAACAAAACTAGTGGCATCAGCTACTACATCTGCAGTTTTCTCCAAAAGTTTGAAGTCTGGCGCCTTGAAATTATTCATGCTGGTTGGCCCATTAATCTGCTTCCCAACAGTGTAAAGTTTGTCCAGAATCTTTCATGTTAAGGTACCTTTAGACCGAGATATATGAGAGCCTTGTCCGTTGGCGCTGACAGGCCTCCCTATGGAACATACTGCACAAAAACGAAACTAGTTTCATCAGCCACTACATCTGCAGTTTTCTCCAAGAGTTTCAGGTCTTGCACCTTGAAACTTTGTTGTTGGCATATTCATCAGCTTTCCAACAATGTATAGTTTGTCCAGAATCATCTATGTTACGTTACCTTTAGACTGCGATATATAGAGCAAGTAAAGCTGGCGATGACAGGCATTACTATTAGATTTACTGAACAAAGAGGCATTATGTTCTATATCTTGCATTTCCGTCAGAAGTCTTAGGCCTCAAGACTTGCCCGTCTGTCAGCTTGTTGGTCTACCCATCAGCTTCTGAACAAAGTATAGTTTCTGTAGAATTTCTCATGTTAAGGTACCTTTAGACTGCGATATAGAGAGCAAGCATCGCTGGTGATGACAAGCATTACTATTAGATTTACTGCACAAAGAGGCAATATGTTCTATATTTTGCATTTTACTCAAAAGTCTTAAGCCTCAAGACTTGCCTGTCTGTCAGCTTGTTGGCCTACTCATAAGCTTTCGAACAGTGTATAGTTTGTGTATAATTTTTATGTAAAGGTACCTTTTGACTGCGTTATAGAGAGCAAGTATCGCTGGTGATGACAGGCATTACTATTAGATTTACTGCACAAAGTGGCTTCGTGTTCTATATCTTGCATTTTCTCCAAAAATCTTTGGCCTCAAAATTTGTCCGTTTGCTAGCTTGTTGGCTTACTCGTAAGATTTTGAACAATGTATAGTTTGCGTAGAATTTCTCATGTTAAGGTACCTTTTGACTGCAATATAGAAAGCGAGTATCGTTGACAGGCATTATTAATGGAATTACTGCACAAAGAGGTAACTAGTGACATTATGTACTATATCGTGTTTTTCTTCAAAAGTCTTTTGCCTCAAGACTTGCCCACTTGCCAGCTTATTATCCTACTCATACGCTTTCTATTCATGTATAGTTTGTGTGGATTTTTTATGTTAAGGTACCTTTTGACTGCGATATGGAGAGCAAGTCTTGCTGGCGATGACGGACATTACTTCTAGATTTACTGCACAAAGAGGCATTATGTTCTATATCTTGCATTTTCTCCTAAAGTCTTGGGCCTCAAGACTTGCCCGTCTGTCAGCTTGTTGGCCTACTAATCAGCTTCTGAACAATATATAGTTTGTGTAGAATTTCTCATGTAAAGGTATCTTTTGACTGCAATATAGAGAGCAAGTATCGCTGGTGGTGACAGGCATTACTATTACATTTACTGCACAAAGAGGCTGCATGTTCTATATCGTGCATTTTCTCCTAAAGTCTAAGGCCTCCAGACTTGCCCGTCTGCCAGCTTATTGGTATACTCATTCGCTTTCGAATAATGTATAGTTTGTGTAGAATGTAACATGTAAAGGTACCTTTTGACTGCATTATAGAGAGCAAGTATCGCAGGCGATGACAGGCATTACTATTAAATTTAATGCACAAAGAGGCTTCATGCTCTATATCTTGCATTTTCTTCAAAAGTCTTCGGTCTCAAGACTTGCCCGTCTGCCAGCATGTTGGCCTACTCATAAGCTTTCTAACAATGTATATTTTGTGTAGAATTTCTCATGTTAAGATACCTTTTGACTGCTATATGAAGGGAAAGTATCGCCGGCTATGACAGGCATTAATATTACATTTACTGCACAAAGATGAATTATGCTCTACATCTTGCATTTTCTCCAAAGGTCTTGGACCTCAAGACTTGCCCGTTTGCCAGCTTGTTGGCCTACTCATAACCTTTCGACCAATGTATAGTTTGTGTAGAATTTCTCATGGTAAGGTACCTTGTAATTGCGATATATAGGGAAAGTATCGACGGCGATGACAGACATTACTATTAGATTTACAGCACAAAATGGCTTCATGTTCTATATCTTGCAGTTTCTCTAAAAGTCTTGGGCCTCAAAACTTGAAAGACCTCAAAAACAAAAACAAATCTTGTTAAGGTACCTTTTGACTGCGATATAGATAGCAAATATCGCTCGCGATGACAAGCATTACTATTAGATTTACTGCACAAAGAGGTAACTAGTGACATCATGTACTATATCGTGCATTTTCTCCAAAAGTCTTAGGCCTCGAGACTTGCCCGTTTGCCAGCTTGTTGGCCTTTTAAATAATGTATAGTTTGTGTGGAATTTCTCATGTTAAGGTACCTTTTGACTGAGATATATAGCGCATGTATCGCTGGCAATGACAGGCATTACAACTAAATTTACTGCACAAAGAGGCATCATGTTCTATATCTTGTATTGTCTCCAGACTTGTCCATCTGCTAGCTTTTTAACACTTTTTGTTTACATTTTAACTTTAATGTTTAAGTTAACATTTCGTATTGTGTCCACTTTTAAATGTATTTACTGTCCTTTACAGGTTGATGTTTTATCTTTGTAACCATGTGCAACTCAGCCGCAAGGCTGCAAACCATTGGATTTTTAATAAACCAGAATAATAATAATAATAACAAATATCATTTGAAAACTGAATATCCCAGGTTTCACATCATAATTATAAGCATCATGAAACATTTTTCAATATTCCAAGGACACAGAGCCGTTTCTGCTTGCAGTATTTTTTTTGGACAAGCTGTATACTGTACACGGAACAGCTTCCAAACATGGTGAGGGTATAAGTCGTCGTCATACCAAACTCGTTCCCAGGGTGTCGAGCAGTACGCTCTCGCCACTACCTGCTCTCTCACACTAGAATTCGATCATTTACATATCCAAAAATGTTGAAGTCGTATGCAAATGAGAAATATCTGGTTCCGTCCTGTGCCTTACCTCAGTTTTTTTTGTATGTGGTGTCTGAGGTAAAAAAAAAAAAAAAACAGAATCAATTCGTCGCGGCGTGACTGACGAATACACGATTTTTTTAAATTAAAATGTTGCAATCTTATCCAGTCAATATGCAGTATCACATTTTATATTAATGTGAGCAAATTGGAAAGGACAGGATTGTTTTTGAGTGGTGTGGACGTGATAGTTACAGTGAACGTGAAAAGACGTAATACATGTACACATTGGAAATAACACCAAGTTCACGATATAATTCCATATCTTGCTAATTGCGGTATCGAATCAGGATACAGGAAGCAAGTTCCAATCGCAGGGCTTACTACTGGGAACGAAGTGGAAAAGAAAATAAGCCCTGGGGACGAGGTTGACGTCATACAGAACACTCCATTGAATGCTCACCAAGAGTCTACAAACACTCTTTTTTCCTTTTAAAATTAATTAGAAACAAATATCTGTCTCAATAATACTGGGAAAATTCAAGGCAATTGGGCGAATGTGGAGAGTTATCTATAATTTGATGGAAATTAATGCGCACTTAGTTTTGGGAAACATTTCTGAAAAATATGTTCGTTCACAATATGTTCGATCCCTGACAACTGCTTTGCGTCATATTTACAACTTTACCTGTCGTCTGACTGTCTCCAGCCATTGTACTGTCCTCCCATTTGTGTCACTTTCATCTGTCTATTTTGACAGTTCCCGCGTCATACTCGACCTTTGTGTGACCCTAACTGTCTCCCCAAACACCCTCCGAACTGCGTATGTAACGCAAACTGACAAGCGAGTAGTGCTCGGGACAGCTCCTTAACGTGTAAAGCAATTACTCGCCGTTCAACACGCTGCTATCCATGTTGCAGGAGACCATTACTGAAAAAATGATTGATATGTGTTTCAACCGCGACCTGTGGAGTACATTCTAAAATTACATTGGTGCAAGAACCAACCTATTTTTTTTAGCTACACCGTCGAGTATCAAAACGCGACCCCGGTTGCCACGTGTTGAAAAACCTTGTTTGCCGTTTTTTGCTGTTAATAAATTGCAGGCATTTGGTGAATTAAAGAGCAAATATGCATTCCGATAAGCACCGAGTACGCCCGTCCACTACGAGCGCAGGGGACGGAAGAGCGACCGAATCCGGGTCAGAATATAGTGGTCATTTGCAACTTGATGGAACAGTTTAGGCGGCAATTCCTCTCGAAAGAGGGGAACATTATACAGAGCGATATGTTTGAGCATTGAGACATTATACAGCGTGCATTATGGATGGATGCGGTGTGTGTGTGTATTGACATAGGAAATTGAGCATCAGTAGACGACAGTTTTGTTATTGCATGGTGCAGGGGAATCACGCAGTAGCGGATAGGTTACCAAACGATGCATCACTCTTTGAGGGCATGCAGGAGGCTTCGATAATTTCCTTAATCATTATCGCTACCAAACAGCGCACAATGCCCAACAGGGAAATCTACTCTCGCTTGACTGTGTTACGCATTGATTCAGTAGGAAGTTCACAATTTTGAACCATCTTCATTCGGGTTTGGTTAAATAATTGAATTCAGCCTACACTGCTGTAGTGAACCACTAATACGCATTTAGACAAGGGAGATATTGGAATGCAATGTTTTGAGTGATAAGACATTGTTTTCTTTATGGTTGCCTAGAGAAGGTGAGAGAAGGTGAACAATGGGAGCAACTATCCAAACGACGACACCATGTGACGCACGCGTCAATCTGAGCGACGCAGACGACCAGACGATCTCTCAGTGGATGTACTCGGACATCAGGATCCAAATCAGTATCATCTCCCGCTCTATTATCCTAATGGTTGGCGTAGTCGGTAATGGCGCGTTTTTTATCGTCAGCGCCCGGACCCGGAGCATGCACACCCTGGTGAATTTGTACCTGGTCCACCTGGCCGTTGCCGACATGCTGGTGTTGCTTCAGCACGCAGCCGTGCCCATTGTCGAGTACTCGGTGCTTCAGATACAATCGGACGGGCATCTGTTCGGTGCGTCCGGTTGCATGGCCAGTATGTTCTTCAGCTACCTCGGGTACTTTACTTCTATCACATTGGTGTGTCTGATGTCGACGGAGAGATATCTAGCGGTGTGCCACCCTCTTAAACACCATTCTATCAACACCAAGGGTCGTGCGTCCAAACTGATTGCGTGTGCCTGGGCTTTGGGTGTCTTACTAAGTGCCTGTGCCATTCCGACCAGCGCTATCTTCACAAAGACCTGCATCGAGTGGCCAGATGAGGAGAAATTCACTACATACCCAACTTACGCAGGCCGCTGCGTCCCGACGGTCGGATGGGCTTCGTATGTTTTCGATGTCATACAGGCCGTGCCTTTCTTCTCGGCCCTTGTTTGCAACGCCGTGTTTTTCACCAAGATCATCCGGAACCTCCGCGGCAGACACGAGATCGACCAGGGCCGGGGATCGCTCCACGGACGCCGCGTGGCACACATCACCTACCAGGTCACCAAGATGCTGGTGGTAAACGGCGTCGTGTTCTTCATCTGCCACGCCCCGTTCCAGTTCCTGTCTCTGTGCACCCTGGTGTCCACCTTGACAAACCTTCCCCTCTTCACAGACCCGGTCGCACAGACGATTATCACCACAGCTTTCCGTCTTCTCGTCTACGCCAATTCCGCTGTCAATCCCTTAGTTTACAATGCCACTAACTCGCGCTACCGGAGAGCATTTGTCCAAGTTTTTGCTTGTTCGTCTCGAGCGAGACGGCAGGCAGCGCAGTCTACCGTAGCAGGGTTAGCGTTGGCTACTAACACTGCGAATGGTCGCTCTGTCCAGCATCGCCTGGACGTCATAGGCCGACAAACAAGTAACGGTAGTATCCTGAATGGGGCACTGGCAAGTCGGGACTCACAGCACAGTTTGATAACAAAACTTTAGTTTATAATAATACTATTAATGTGTATTTATAAAGCTAACGTATCCACGCAAACGTGTGTTCACCGTCGATCGTGGACGTCCTCCCTCTTTTGTTTGTACTCTTAACTTTTTAGGAAGACTCCCATAGGTTTTGTACACGACCTCAATCGCGGACGTATGCTGGGAATCGTGGATGATATTGTTCTCTTTTGTTCTCCGGTATTCTTCATCCACGGTTCGAAAAGATGAATACGTACCCCTCTATTGGTGTTCAGGGCGCTACATCATCAGTTGACCTCAGTAGGTCATTAAAAACAACCGAGAAAGTAGGCTTCATCTAGATTGTGTTTTGCCCCAAAGTTGGCAATGTTGCAATCCACCAGTGGGTCATCAACATTTGATGCATTGCTTCCCTTGGCATAAAAAGCATACGTATTTGCGGTACTTGTGAGAACTGAGTTTGTTTCCTTTCTGCGAGCATTTACAACAGCAGTTTACCTACATTGTTAAATTATGCTTAGAGGAATTGAAGTCAAAGGAGTGTTCTCTTGTTTATCTTGTTTCGAGAATTTTTTTTTACCTTTTTAAGTTCCTGTCGATTGTCATTCCAATTTTGAAAATTATAGATATGGTGACTTCAAAATGCAGACAAAACTTGTCCTGCAAATCAAAGGGATGAAGCTTGAGGATAATTGCAATGAATTGATGCGAACATGATTTAGTGTAGAAACATCTGATATCTTGTAGGTGTATTGCTTGTGTTGTGCAAGTCATGTGGTCGATTTTCTTCAGAAAAGCCTTAGTGCTTGGCGTTTTAGTAGTTTCGAAAAATTACTATTTTCACACTTTGTCGTGCCTTTTGAATTTGTGGAGGTGCATCAATTTTTCAAGGGTGTTCTAAAGGCAAACCTATTTTTGCATTAGTGCATTTTTGGACATTTGCAAACATCTGAGGGAAGGGTTTTGTTTTGGGCACAAACAGATCCATTTTGTGAGCAGATTGGCTCCCTGTCCGTGCATTGTAGATATTGATTGTGGGGCGGGAACCAGCCAACCCCGCGAGAACGGGTATTATATCCGCATGTAAACCCTAGTATTGATTAAACGATTAAACATACATGTCAGTAAGTAACCAATCCAAACAAAATATGTTTGGGTCTGAAAAAAAAATGGAAAATCAGATTGTGATAATAAAGTCACTTTACGTCTGTAGATTGGAAACACTAATTAGCTTATCACTTTAACGTCCTCTTGTTTTGCTTCATAGTTAAAGAAAAACTTTCTAAAAGAGAATTAAGTTGGATCTTGGCTACGATGACCTCCAGATATTCCGTAAAGTTGTCTTAACTAGAGTTGCAGGTAGAGTGGTTAGTTTTAGGTTAGTATACATGGAAACATCATTGGAAATAGCCGTTTTGAAGAGGAAAAGGTAACTTGTGTAACTGTGATTGGAGAAAGGCTACGCCAGTCGACCGGGGGAAGATGAGCTGGTATTTATCTCCCGTCCCGGTCAGGTGTGGTTGAAGTTGCTGAATGTGTTCTTGTCCCAGTAGCGGATCTACACCCCGGACATCAAAAATGTGAAAATCATGCGAGAAGAAAAGTAGCACATGCCTGCTACCCCCCCCCCCCATATAAAGTTGGATCCGCCCCTCTGCCTGTCTGATTAGGTTTGAGGAACTCGATGTGGTCAATGTCAATTAAGCCATTAAGTGTCGTGAGAATAAGCGGGTGAGTCAGAATCTGGCGGCGTCGTTCTTGGAGAGTAGACCAGCCAAGCAAAAGTTTTGGAGACAGTGACTCTGGTATCGTTGTTATTTGTAGGATTTTGGACTTTCTTAAGATGATTTTTGTTCCTTGCTGCTGATAAGTAATCAAAATAAGGTCTGACTAAGGATGTATATAGTTTTCCCTTTGGCGTGGCTGAAAAATGGTGCAATTTACTTCTACTTAGGAATTTAAAATCATTGTTTTTGGCATATAGTTTACCAGAACGTTCCATCTCATGTTGACATAGTGGTAGGCCTACTGTCTCCGCTTTCCACCCTTGTGTCACATTTTCGAATTTCAAGCTTTTAGACCATACATGAGGTTTTCCTCTCACCTCTAAACCGGACCACTGGTCCTCTTATGGTTTGGTTGAAAGAGAGTCTGCACTATCAAGCCTGGGCTAATGTGATGATTCTTAATGAACAGCCTATTAACCATCAGAGTGTTTTGCCAGTGCATGAGCCTAGCTTTTGTTCCAACAGATCCTTTGCATTGCAGCCATCTTTGAGGTACATGCTCTTGTTTCAGGATAATACGCATGAGTACATCTCTTGCACACTCATTGTTACTGAATTAAAATTTAAAAAACAAAACACCTTAAAGAAGGCTGCTGAAAGGAAAGGATTTATAATGGTGATTCCGTACCAGGGGCAAAATGATCCGTTATGTCCGCTTGAATAATCATTAATAATTGGGAAAAACTGGGAGACAAACATTAACTCGCTTAAGTATAAGATCGGTAGTTGTGATAAATTCATTTGTCGATTTTATTTGATCTATAGGAATAATTGACCAAAACTTAATTCCACTTCATTAAGATGGCATTAAGCAGGAAAGTCACGTATGAATATAAATTCAGCACCCATAGAAAAAAAAATTATGATCTGTTGTCATGACAACCATATAATGTAATCGAAATGATTGCAAAATATTTTGATCTACTTAGAGCCAAATACATGTATTGGTTGAACTTATAAAAGTAATGAACATCGAGCACCGATGTCAACATACAGACCAATCCAATAGCTGACTACTATTTTACTTGGAGCTTTCGTTCGGCACATTGGCGCCATTTTGCCGTCTGTCGAAACACACACACTGCATCATCGTTTGGCGGGAAAACAAGTCTCCTTACCGCGCTTCAATCACCTAGCAACGAAACACTGCGATTTGCCACGGATGCCTTGATCTGTCATTGCAACCGCCAACCTCTGGTTCAGTACAGTCGATTTGGGTTTATGGATGGGAAGGAGCTGGAAAAGGGGTTTAATTGTGTGTGTTATATTAGCGCTCAAATAATACGCAGTATGTGTGTAAAATCACGAAGAGTTAGCAAAAAAATCATGCTACTGTTCCAAAATACTTGCAAAACCCAATAGCTCAGTCGCCTGATAGTATTCGGTTGACCAAACGTTCGAGGGAACTTAGTTTGAATATTCGTCTTGGAAAGCTTTAGAAAAATCCAGACTGCAAAATACTGTTACCTAATGTAACCACGCAAGTGTGTTTTTGCCTGCAATCGGGGACCCCCTATTGTCCTTCTTTTGTTTGTACTCTTTTTACTTTTTAGGAAGACCTCCCGTATGTTTTGTACACGAATCCATATTGGGCACCACTTTGGATCGAGGACCCTATTGTCCTCAATTGTTCAACAGACTGTGGTAAATATTTCGTGTGTGTTTATCCTGTGGTTTTTATCGTTTACTATGCAAAGCGCAGTTGCCATGAAGAGCTGCTATTGAGCATGGAATCCTGACTCAAGGATACCTAACTCAAGGCAGTCAAGGTGGGCTGACATACCAACTTTATCCAACTTTAGTTGAATCAAACCATGTGCCCGATTTTTTTTTTTAGCCAGATGGCTCCTTTTCCAAATGACTTACTTGATGAAAAGTTATATTCTGTAGGACATTTTCCGTAAGTTCCGAGGAGAGAAAATTCACTTTATTTTTTTAAAGTGAAATTCTTTCAGTCGAGTGGATTGAGTTTTCAGTCGAGGTTCCACTTGATTGAATCGCCTATTCACGAGTTTTGCCTCCTGGAGAGTAAAAATTTGCTAAGAATTGTTTTTTTTTTTGTATTTTATTGTTACCTTTTATGACATATGGTTTGTGCAACTGTGAAAGGTAATTCAGCACTGTATGGGATCCTCGTGCGTCCCCAGGACCCTCGATCTATGAACAAAATTGTCCTTTGTACAAACACTTCACGTACACCAAGTATCATTTGAAATCGCTGTGTTATTTTGGGTAAAGTAACGTGGAAATCAAACAACGTTTGCACGATTCGTATTCCTCCAGGTACTTGAGCTCGTCAATCAGTTACAGATGTCACTGTTGCAGTCGTGAAGAGTTTTTGTGTTTGCATTTTGCTATTAATAGATGATTCATTTGGGTTCTCTTTTCTGCCTTATTGGTCTGCTTCTTTAAGCACAGGTAATGTCTTTTTAACAGTGGCGCAAACTTACACGAAATGCTCGATAGTGGGGTGCTGTGGTCCAATGATTACGGTGTTCGACTTGTGTGCCGTGGTACATGGGTTCGAATCCTGATCGTGGGAACAGGGTGGTTGTGCTCTTGAGCAAGGCACTTTACCATTATTGCTTCGTCCTTCGGATGGGACAGAAAGCCGTTAGGTCCCGTGTGTTATGTAATACACGTTAAAGAACCCAGTTTGAGAAGGGGTTTGCCCCGGTGTTTCTGGCAGTGGCTGCAATATGCGCCGGACCACCATGTACATGTATACCCTTATCAACAAGGTGCTATAAACATCATACATGTACTTGTTTTCCGTACGATAACTCTAGAAATATCCCATGTATCGAAACGAAATAACATCTGGTGATTTGAAATATAATAAAAACACAAATCTGTTGAATGTTGCCCGACCAACCTAGTGTATTTAGAGCGAAAAATACACTAGTCTAAACGAATTAAATCAACTTTCGTGGAACAAAAACAACACTCGTTTTCCATACGATATCTCTAGATATATTCCATGTATCGAAATTAAATTACATCTGGTGATTTTACAGGATATAATAACACAAATCTGTTGAATATTACGAAAAGTTATCAAGCAGTTGAAAAAAAAACCCGAACAACCCAGTGTATTCAGTGCGAAAAATACACTAGTCTTAACAAATTAAGTCAACTGTTATGGAAAAAAACAACATAATGGTTTTCCTTACGATATCTCTAGATATATCCCATGTATCGAAATTAAATAACATCTGGTGATTTGACATGATA